TCATGAGCTCGGCAACTTTAGGTAAGTGCTTTCTAAAGTAATTCACAAAACCCAAGAAACCAGCCACTTGTTTAGCATTTTGTGGGCGAGGCCAATCATGTATATTTGTAATTTTGCGTTGATCTATAGATTGCCCATGTTCTGAGATGGAAAATCCAAGAAGATATACTTCAGCTTCTGCGAAATGCGATTTTTCGAAATTAATCTTTAGATTAGCTTTTGTCAAAATCTTTAACACTTCTTTAACATGTCTGAAATGTAATTCCATAGAAGCAGAGAAGATACAAATATTGTCGACAAAGCAGCGCACATACGGCATATCTTTAAACAAAGTCAACATTACTCTTGAGAAAAGTTGACTGATCGTCGATATTCCAAATGGAGAGCCAACATGCATATATTTCAAAACGTTGGGAGCAGTAAAGCTTGTCTTCTTACGATCAGTAACATTAACGGGAAATTGCGAAAATCCCTTCTAAGATCTATGGTTGAGAAAACCTTACCACCAGCGATGGTCATGAAAATGTCATCTATCAAAGGTAATGTTTCATTGATAGTTGGAAGGGCTTTGTTTAAGAGACGAGTATCTAACACAACTCTAATCTTGTCGGTTTTGTTACCGTCCAAATCCTTTTTCTGGACTACCGTTATAGGTAAATTCCATTCCGAGGGTTCAGCTTCAGTAATAATACCCGTTTTTAACCAGTCATCTAAATATCCATTACTTTGGATGTCTGTGCATACGCAATAGGATATTGTTTGACATTTGCGTAATAACCTTCGGGTGTAGGAAGATATAAAACGCTTTCAGGTAGGTTGCAGAGAGTGTTATCATCTAAATTTTTGTTTGCTTGTATATAAGGCTCTAGTCCTTTGAAGAATGCATACTGTTCTCTTTCAGATCCGTAAGGAGTCTTGTTGGGTTCATATGCTTTATCCTCGATTGAGTCATCAACCTTGGAAGTGTTTTTAAATCTATATGCAACATTCACAAGATGATCTTCAACTTTGGCAATAAGTCTACACCTACGATCACTTTTTGTTCATGGGCTAGCAATTCATTATCAATAACGTCGAATTTATGAGGGATACTTCTGTTGACGCCATCATATTCAACAGATAAGAAATGAACAGTTTGTTCACGTTGGAGTTGCTTACCATTTGCCAAAATTAGTTTACCTTCTACCTTATGGAATGCAATGTTGTTTTGTTTAGCAAAATCTTTACTTATGACAGATACTTCAGCGCCTGTATCGATTAGACAATAGCAATTAATCTCGTTAATTGTGATGTAGGAAACAGGGGCATAACCAACATTATCAGTTGCAAATGGATTGTTAGTTTCACCAACTGCACCATTACGCTTACTAGATAAAACAAGTTTGTCATTACGCGAGAGGGATATAGAACAAAGTTGTTTATCATCAGATCGTTGGTCATTGATCAAGTAGTTGTCATATTCTAATAAAGCTTTATTATATTCATCATCAGATGAGTCATCTTCAACTATATTTCCATCATTAGTAGCAGAAAAATCTTGTTCTTCATATTTACTAAGATGAAAAAGTTTGGATTTAGCATCAGAAAAATGAACATCATTATCAGCAGTATCAGGTGTGATTTTAACTGCAGCAACAATTGGCTTTATTACCTTCTTGGCCTCCAAAATCCTCTTTCTTTCAGAACAGGCCTTGCCATGCTCGACAGAATATTTGACCACGCGGCAGAAGGTGCAAAAACCATTGTCTCTAAGGAACTGGATTTCGTCCTTATCCAAAGAACCGGTTTTGTTTCTAATATCCTTCAATTTTTTGTAATTGAAGTTATTGTTGTTGCTGTTGTTGCCCTTGTAAGGCTTTTTGTTTTGTTGGTTGGATGATCTATTGTCATCCAATTTTCTCTTTTTGTTAGAAGAGTCTTTTTGGCCATCTTTCTTGACAATTTCAGCATGACTCTTTTCCAAAGAAAACATAGCTTTACAAAGAATGCTATGCAATTCACTGAAATTGCTAGGAACGTAGTCCTCGTCAGAAATATCTGCGTAATGGCTTAACAAAGTCGAACCAGCAGGAAGAGAAAGCTTGTAATGGTCTTTAAGTGTACCTAAAACCCTTAGTTTGAATTCCTCATGATGCAAAGAATTAATAAAGAGGGTAGATAAAAGGAAATTATCTTCCACTTTAACCTTAGCGGCGACAACATGATGCTGAAATCTATCTAAATATTCGGCAACAGATTGTTTGGACCCTTCCTTGAGGTTTAGCAACATGCTATTGCATTGAGAAGTATTATACTTCGAAGCAATATCGAATCGGTTTTTTAGCAATTCTTTAACCTCTTTCCAAGACAATTTTTTGTTTCGAATGTTACTGGTATAGAATTCGCGCCCGATCTTAGTCTTCTCGAGACAGGATTCAAGGTTGTAGCGCCAGTGTTTGTTCACATTGACTTTGTTATCTTTGTAAATACGTTCAAATTTCAAAATGAACGTTTCCAACGAATAGTTATCATTGATGGCATTGATTGAGTTGGGATTAAGTTCATTGTCGAAATCCTTATAATTCGAAGGCTTAACTTCAAAGACTGGAAGATCTTTAGGCTTAATTGCGCGTCCATCCTGTTTACCAGAAGGACTACTAAAGGAATTTGCTTCCTCCCTATAACACTTAAGATGTTCATGAGCTTCAACAAACTTCCTATTACTTTTTCTCCAAAACATCGAGTTGGAAAGCGAATTGCTTTACTTCATCCTCGGTGCTCTGTGGAAGCTCCATCAAAAGGTTGGCCTTATTGTCGAGAGCTCTCAGTTCAAACTCGTACTTGGCTATATCGCCTTGTACTTGAGCTATCTTCTGAGATTGCTCTTCTTCAGCTGCGGAAGTAACGGAAATGGAATCGTCATCGATATCCATCTCTGTTGTATATGGTAGAAATAGATTACAATAGAAAGAAAACAAAAGGAAATCTGTGAAGACCAAGTTCTTCTTTTATTAAGTAGAATATTCAGATAAAGAATGAAGACAAAAACCATGTAGGAAAAAAGTACTTCTATTTATATTTGTGGATATTGTAAAAAACTTTTTCTATCGGGACCCTTAGGTACAAGATGACCTGATGATAAAAGAAAAGACATACCCAATTGCTACAGCACGGTTAATCATGCTAGAGCGGTGCCTTGACCGATTGGATAGGTATAAGAAGGTAAGTGATGAGCTGATCTGGCTAACGGTTCCTTTAACCGATACCTCGGCAGATTCATTATGACTAATGGGACGGATAGAATAAATCATCTTTAATTCTGCCGATATCTCCATTTCAGTCTTATTGAATTCTGTCAGAATGTAAAGAGTTAAAGTAAGGGATCAACAAGTTAGATAATACACCGATTGCCTAAAATTCACGCAAAATTGTGTGTTACCTCGCAAAGTTGCGTGAACGTAACGCTAAACCTCGCAAGTCCAAAATGAGTTGCGTGGTACGAGGATTCACGCAAGTTTGTGAGAAAACTCGCAAAAAATAGTATGGCGTGGAAACATGCACTTTTGCAAGAAATGTTGCAGTTTATAACAGTGCGTGATAAAACGCATCTTGCGTGAAAACGTGCAAATTGATTCTTTTGCGTGAAAGCATGCAATTTTATTATTTTGCGTTCTACCATTCATATACGCTTCGTAGCAGGAATTATGGCTCATTTTAATTGCGCAGTAAATTATATTTATTATATATCCTTTTATTTTTGTATAATATATTCATAAAACTACTCAAACTATATATCTATTTACTGTATCTAAACACTATAGCCCTCTATTTATTATCAATTTATTGAATTGTATACGTACCTTTGGTTTTGACTTGCAGATTTAACTTTGTTTGCTTGATCAATGTGCTTATAAGAGTTTCATAATTGTAAAAAGTGAGATCACTAAACATATACAAGACAGTGTTAGTTTCCATAATAATAATAATAAAAAATAGGACAAAAGAAAAAGTTAATTACTTACATTGTTTCTGTAATGTTTCTTCATGTCTTTTTAATGGCAAATGTGCCGAAGAAAAAAGTGAAAAAGGCAACAAGCGAAGGTGTATCCTAAATATATAATTTAAAAGCACAATAATTAAATTTATCGACCATCATAAAGGCATTGTATATTTAAAAAAGGTACCTAAAGACGGACCAAGGGACATCTGTTGCAATTGTGCATTTTGGTTTTGTCAGTTAATAGTAATCAGGGTATGAGCAAGAGTCTAATTGTTAATCACAAGTAAAATGGGAATAAACTTGGACAATCGGTTGTTTGCTGTATAAAGAAAAGGAATATAAACATGGAAAACTATTAGAAATTGAAATTGAAAGTATTTTTGAGATAAATGAAAGATTGCATACTTTTGATTGTTTGCCCAAGAGCAAAAAATGTTTCAAACAATCCAAAAATAAAGGTGGTCTATCATGAAGCATGCGCAAAAATTGCTTTGCAAGAAGTCAACGCCGCTCAGACAAATAGACGACAGTAAATAGTTTGATTCGATTTGCAAAGTGGGGATCTGAAACATACAATCCAACGAATCACTATAGAAAACAAAAAAAAAAAGGGTAAATCGACACAACAAAAAGCAGGCGAGTTCAGTTGAGGTATGATATAGATTGTACTTTTTAAAAGGAGAGAAAGAAAAGAACTTGCTTTACTAGTAAATGATATACTTGTCAAGGGTGATTCCAAAGTCGATTAGAAGTAATGGCTAAAAAAAAAGAGTGGAAGAGACAAAAAAAAAAACGAATTCTGCTGCGAGATATAGAGCCCCTTGTCAAAAGCACATTCTGTTACACTGATCACTTCACAGCCTTTATTTTGAAAGTAAGCTTAAATGGTTACTTGGCTTTTTTGGTATTTTTCATGTCAAGTTTATTAGACACTCAACAGATTAAGATTTGGGATCATCTTTCACTGATCGATTTTGTATAAAAAACAGCGAGACACTGAACAAAAGACTGCATCAACAAGGCATTGTTACTAGTTACATATACTTTATTTTCCAAGAAAAAGAAAGAGACACTACGTAGACATATATATATATATATATATATTTATTTATTTTCTTGTTCTACGTCTTTTCCTTCCTGCGTTATTCGTATCAGGCTCGGCTGCTTGCGATTGAACTTCAGGAACAGGAGAACTGATCAGAGCACTATTATACAAAAGACAATATTTCAGCATAAGTCTGATACACCATCTTCACTTCTTTCAACTAAGAGTCTTACCTTTCGAAGGTACTACAGTCTAATTCTTCCTGACCGTCGTTAATCGTAGCAGAGTCATTGCCTTCATCTACGTTTGCTGACGAAAGAAAACTGTCAAAACCAAAAGAAGCAGAGTCACCGTCAGTCGTACTTCTTGAGGATTCTTCAGTCTATTGTTATAAAATTAAATATATATATATATATTAGAAGACATATACATACACCCATTATTACATACGCATATAAAGTATGTACCTCTTCAATAACTATGACAGCAGGTGACGAACTAGTACTTTTTTTTTTGTTTTTTTGTTTTATTCCTATTTTTGTTTCGGATGGCAACACTGAGTAGGTCAAAGGTTGCCCAAGAATTGGCACACCTGTCGAGTGGGAGAACCCGTGCAGTACTGATATTTTCAATGCAAGCTCAAATCTTGCCGCAAAGTCTTTTTGTTTTGACAAACTGAGATGGCTCCATCGCAACGTCGGATCGTGGTTTATGAACTGCTGACAGAACTGTTGGGCCATGTAGTACGTTGCGTGGTAACGATGCTCAGCTTCCATCACCAGTGCTTCTTCTGATTTGTCACAATACCCAGTGCTCACCGAAAGGTATTCTTGGCACATACGTAACAGGTATGCCTTTGTAGACATATTGCCTTCTGGCCTTTCGAAAATCCTTGTACTGTTTGCCGTTTCCATCAGATGATCGTTAACAACTTCAGCACTGATCGGTTCCATTAATCGCTCAGCATCTTCGGGACTAAGCACTATAATATTAAAGTGTTTTCCATAAGTACATCCGCTACATATGTATGTCTATGTATATCCTATATAATTTTCTTTACAATCATCTGGCTTGAGTCGTAAACGTTTGTCTACTCTTGTAGAACTCAAATTGTGTACGGGACAAAATTTGCAACGGCAAACAGCATCCTGATTGGTGTTGACTACGATGGCCAGCACAGCATTGCGAACATCTACTGGCAAGGCATCAAGGTTGAGGGTGTTGTTGTTGTTATTGAAAGACATTGTAGTGATGCGAAAAAAAAAGGTGAAGATTGAATAAATTATAGTTGCGATCTTTCGACAAGCCTACTTAAAAAAAAAAAAGTTAAACGAATTGTATCCATTCTCTAAGAGAACCAAAAAACCATACATATTACCTTAATCCAATTATAGTAGTTTCGCAGTACAAGTATAATGTGGCGAAGTAACTTGGTGTCCATAAAGCATCTCGAAGGAAGAATGTACTGGTCTTCCTGAATGAGCATGCTTGGTTTGAAAATGATATGATGATCTTTGCGCAGCAGCATAGCCCTTCCGTTTGCACAAACTGATAGCTAAAAGATGCAGACATATATTCTCTCATAAACAATTGCTGTAAGTTCGTTTACTGATTCACTTTCGTTTAACTTGTGTATGCTGTATGCGTTAATACAAAAGGATTGTGTATAAAGAGACTAGAAGGAAAAAAAAAAAAAAACCAAAATTTGATTTCTAAGCTGATGAATGAACCAGTAATAATTGCTTCTTTCGGTCCCTTTTGGGGATCGTACAAAAAAAAAAAAAAAAAGAACCATACATGTCAATATATATGATACTGTGCAAACCCAAAGCCAACTGCTCAATAAATCTGTCTTCTACTATCAAGAAAGTATTGTTTCTGTATGTCTGTCAACGTTGCTGGTTGAGTAGTGTATTAAAAATGAGAGATTCTAAATTGTAAATGCAGTGACAAAAGTAGATGGAAATTACAAACCGTATACTGTCATTATACCGCAGCTCTTTTGCCTTCAAGAGAGTGTATCAATAAAGTACCAATTAAACGTAGCGCTTAGTAATGAGTAGTTTTCAAAGTAATATAAAAAGAATGGAAACAACACGTTTACTTGCCTTCTGTATCTAACTTTGTGTTTCTTTCCCTGCTGTTTTCCCTTTATCACTACATCCATCTTACAATTATCGCCATGGCTATTCAAAACAACAATCGTGTCAACAAAAACTCATCAAGAACCAGTTCACGAAAGTTTACAGCTGCTTTCAGAAGGGATATGCTTCTTGCTGTTAATGGAGAACGACCAGTAACAAGAGCATATCCTGAATTGCCTGAAGATACTGATGAGTTTATGGATGATTCCTATGCTCCCGAATATGATGATGATGAGGTGTTCGACGAAGAAGCCTATGTGGAATTGTTGAGTACTCTCGATGCACAAGAAAGAGGTAGCATTAAAGTGAATGTGTAGGTGCCAAACGATGACTGATCTGTGAACTTTTTTTTTTCATTTGTAGACGAAGACACACCCATAGCACTTCCTTCTGTTGACAAGGAAAGCACCTTCATTGATCGTCATATACAAGTTCCCAAAGATCCATTTACAATGACAGAGGTCCATAGTTTGCAGATGTTTGAGTTGGGCAAAAGACGTGGCTTCAGTGTCCAAGATAGTTGTGAAATAAACGCCATTGTTAATGAGCATGTCTCCAAAATTCTAGCAAGTCGAAACAGTATGTATATTAAGCAATCAGTTAACTCATGTCCTAAACCAACTCAAAATATAATTCTTCTTGTCTGCAATAGTCACTACTCACTCTATCCGATATGATCTCTTGTCTCCTCGAGCATGTTTATCGATGCTAAAGAAAAGGCTTCCTACAAACTTTGCAGTACAGCACGAAATATGCAGCTCTGGTTGTTATCTGTTCGACCCCATTCAAGACGCCAAGCTGACCATGTGTCCCATGTGCAGTACAGTAAGAACCAAACAGAAGTTTGTCAAAATTGTATCTTTGAAAGACAAAATTGCCCAGCAGCTCTGTTCTGACGATTTCAGAAGTGAGATTGAGTACCGCGCTGACAATTTTGGTGATTTAATGGACGACGATGACGACGACAAAATATATACTGACATCTTCTCTGGTGAAGTATATAAAAACCTTCAACAACAAGGTTTGTTTCAAAATGTACACGATATTGCTTTGGCGTTAAGCATCGATGGTTTCTCTTCCAGAGCCAGTCGAACGTCTATGGTTATTGTAGATGCAGTCATCTTGAACCTTCCTCCATCGATCAGGTAAACATCGTGCACAGTTCAGATAATGTACAAAACCAATCCTCTCAAAAAACTTTTTTTTTTCTCTATATTAGACTTGCTGATGACAACCGAATCCACCTTGCCGTTTTCTCTGGCAATAATAAAAAAAATTTGGAAAGTTACTTGCATCCTATAATTAAGGAATTGAAAGAACTTTCAGAAAAGCCTTTACGTGTATTCAGGAATGGTCAAGAACTTACGTCTTGCCATGTATATCCGCTTGTTTGGACTGGTGATCTTGTTGAAGTAAACAAACTGATGTCCTTTTCTGGTAAGCATAATATATTGACTCGGTAAACAGTAGTATATTATAATACTGAACATGTTCTATTCATTTTGATAGGTTTTATGAGCACTTACGGATGTAAGCATTGTAAAAGTAAGTTTCTTCTTTTATGTGTTTACAAATTAAATGTACCTTTTGTTCTTACCATCTCTCTCAAATAGCCAAAGGGGAACATCCTATGGATAAAGACACCAACGACAACAAGGGTATATACTTCCCTTATAGAGGCCAACCTCCACGTACAAAGGAAAACCTTTTGTTAGAAGAATTTGATGTAAGTAGCTCTTCTATAATCAAAAATGTATAAACCACTTTGTTAATGAGATTCTTACGTTTATGTAGACCTCACATAATCAATGCAACTGGGGCATCAAAAAAAGAAACATGTTTGGTGACCTTCCGTCATTCTCAGGCACTCCGTTCCACGGCCTTGACGAGATGCACTTGTTTACGAATGTTGCCAAACTGTTTTTTGATATAATATCTCCCGTATACAACCAGCGTTTCAAGTATAAAGGCAATGAAGCAGCATACCCGTTTTTGTTTGATCATGTCAAATATGGCCCCTTGATCAAGCAATCCGTGGATATATCCCGCCGTTCGATCCCTAATGATTTCAACAGCACCTTCAACGGCGTCGATCCTTCAAAAGCCTTGCGTGGTCAATACAGGTCAGTCGATTGGCTTGATTGGCTTCGTTACGTTGTTCCTACCTTGATTACTCCATTGTTTTACGACAAGCAAGCATCTACGGCTATGAATTCCATTGTTTATGCGATCACTTTGGCAATGCAATGGAATATCAAAGAAAGTCAAATAAAAGAAATAGAAAAGTAAGTTATTGAATGAAGCATTATCGATGGAGCATTATCAGAGTTTCAAAGGTAAATGTTGTAACGATAAGATCAAAGTATAAGAAAAAGAAAACAAAAGGAAATCAGTGAAGACCAAGTTATCTTCTTTTATTAGGTAGAATATTCTGATAAAGAATTCAATTAAGAATGAAGACAAAAACCATGTAGGAAAAAAGTACTCAGTGACTCACAAAACTGCGACAATGTTTTCAAATTTTCGCATAAATAATCTTTGTGTTGACCGTACAGTATATAGACCCTCCTAAACCTACTAAAAAAATTACACCATTGCAAAGCTATGGTTTTCAGCTTTCAAATACTATAAGATGTGCTAAGTTTTAGTCAGATACACTGATGAGATAAGTGGGATTAAAGTAGGGCATACAGATTCGGAGCAACAATTTATTTGATGTGACAACAAATAACAGAGAACATCCATCGATTTACCATTTCGTCCACCCACCTTTTGCCTTTATAACAGCTTGAATTCGCGCTGGCATACTTTCTATATGTTTCAAGCATAGTTCTGGCGTAACTTTATTATACCAGACCTCCGCAACTCGTTCCCACAACTCATTTAGGTTCGACGGTGCTGTATCGTACGCTGCTAGTTTGCACTTCAAGTAGAACCACAGATTCTCAATTGGATTAAGGTCCGGAGAATATGAAGGCCAGTCTAAGACGTTCACCTTGTTCTTTTGGAACCATTTTTTCGTCAGTTTGGCAGTATGCTTCGGATCATTGTCCTGCTGAAAGACAATATCATCCTTTTTAAGCCCATAATCTTTAAGGGTCTCCATAAAGTCACCCTTCAGTATTTCGCAATACAATTTGGCGTCCATCCCGCCCTCGATCTTGGCTATGAACCCAGGTCCATATTGAGTGAAACAGGACCACAACATCAAACTTCCCCCACCACCTTTGTAAGCGAAGTTGACATTGTGCTCCTGAAGAGGTTCACCCTTTTTAACCCAAGTCCACATCTTTCCGTCCGAACCTAAACGGTTTATTTTAGTTTCGTCACTAAAAACAACTCGTTTCCAATCCTCAACCGTCCAGTTTCTGTGAGCTTTGGCCCATTTCAAACGATTCTTTCGTCGATCATTAGTCAGTGGCAGAGCTGACTTCTTAATCTTTGAATCAAAGTCTGCAGATTTCAGGAATCTGCGTATCGTCTGAGGAGAAATATCATACCCTTGAGCACGTAGGCTCCGGGCAGCCTCTACAGCTGTCATAAAATGCCCAGTGTAAAAAGATCTTACAATTTTTCTACCGAGCAATTTGCTGATTTTAGATGGTCTACCACCTTTGTTGTCAGATGCCGATTGATGATCTTTAGCAATGCGGTCGACTGTTCTGGTTGAAACTCCAAAAGCTTTGGCAATACTTCTGTTTGACTCAGTACCATTAAGTCTAGATAGAATATCCATCTTTTTATCATAAGGAATTGGTCTCATCGCTAGAGTTAAAGGTGATTAGTTGTAAATGTGGAGTAATGACTAATGAGTTAGGTGCAAATGTCTAAATTGTACGAAACAAAAACGGAAAAAAGCATTAAAAGCATTTAAATGAATGGTACTAATAGTAATTGACTCCATTAGAACTCAGAAATCCCTTCGCTTTTCTGTAGGCAAGTGATCTTTTGACATCTCTCATTTTATGCGTGATGTCCAAAAATTCGCCCATCGGTCAATTTTCCTAATTGATGGGTGATCGGTTCATGCAAATGCCACAAACTAGATATGAAATAAGAGCTTGAAGGGTCCTTATTCTATTACTCGTTTTCATTTTGTATCTTTATTAAGGAAAATTGATAGTAAAGTTGCGATTTATGCAAAATTTGAAAACATTGTCGCAGTTTTGTGAGTCACTGTATTTATATTTGTGGATATTGTAAAAAACTTTTTCTATCGAGACTCTTAGGTACAAGATGACCTGATGATAAAAGAAAAGACATACCCAATTGTTACTGCACGGTTCATCATGCTATAGCGGTGCCTTGACCGATTGGACCGGTGACAGGAGGTAAGTGGGTTGATCTGACTAAAGGTTCCTTTGACCCGTACTTCAGCAGTTTCATTATAACTAACGTGACGGACAGGATAAACTATTCCTTAATTCTGCCGACGTCTACGTTTCAGTCTTATTGAATTCTGTCAGAATGTAAAGGGTTAAAGTAAGGGTCAACAAGTTAGAAGATAATAGCTTAAGTAGATTAGATTTATGTATTGTGGTTTGATGTGCTAAATAAAGTTATCTGATTTAATCAACTCCGAATACTATAATATCTTATTTCTAAATGAAGTCAATTACTCATCCAATGTTGTCTCGGACATACAGATGAAATATTCTTCCGCAAAAGAAA